AAGCCGGTTTTTCATAAATCGGGAATTTCACAAGAGATCTGATATAAAAAGAATGCCAACCGATTTCACCATGTTTTACCCTGGTCCAGTAGGTTGAAAGAAAATGCAGTCCCCCACCACACCCCATATTTAATGACCTCTCTAGGCCTCTTCCTAAGGGCATAAAGAATGATCCCTGCATTTCTCTTGAGTCTTCCAGATTTGGAAGGGTGTATAGATTCAGCACTTGCTAAGTAGTCCCAGGTGTCCTAAATTAAAAGGCATTAAACGTTAGTTTTTCCAAACTTTCACCCTGGGCGATCCTGGATGACCAAGCGGAAAAAGAAATGGGGCCGAATACACATCTGCCCGTGACCTTTCCTGCAAGATATTCTAGGCTCGGATGAAAATGTCTAGACTCTGCCAATCAGCTTGACATCTTCAAGCACTGTGGGTTCATTATAATTTAAGGAGAAGAGAGTAAATCTGGAAAATGAGCTACTTTTTGAGTGAGGAAGAGGAAGGCTTTGGTTGGCTCAGTTGAAGACTTAGGTAGCTTTATCATCCGGTAAGCAATTTGCATTGTAGTTGATATAAAGGCCTGTTTCTTTCTGCTATGGTTTTTCGTGGTGTTAGATGTCCCAGCTGTTGGCTCTGACAGGACAAAGGAACGGCAGTGGCGGGGCTGGTCTCATCGAGGAGCAGACAGACTTACCTAGAGGAGGCAATACTGGCGTGAAACCTTGACCTCATCCCTTAGACTAAACTTGTCTTCTGACCCTCTCAAGTGCTCCAAGTAAAAGACTTGCCTTCAAAAGCCACAAGGATAAACCTTTGTTCTCATTCTTTTCTCCCTCCTGTCTTCACTTTCTCCTTTATTTTCTTTTCCTTTATTTTTCTTTTCCCTTTTCTCCTCGGTTATTTCTTATTGGCCCAAACTCCACTGTGGGACAGCATATAAAAACACAGAAATACTGAAGATGGAAATGTGCCCTTTTTACTGCCGGACTTGCTTAACTAGCTGTGGCGAGAGATAGTGGGTGCTAGGTTTGAAAACACACACACATGTGGGCTTTAGGGCACTGAAATAAATATAGTTTTTACAGCTGAGAAAAGTCAATGAAATCGTGTATTTAAGAATCGTACCGAGATGGTGCAGGTTCTCAGACCGCGAAGGGAAGGGAAGCTGCTAGGCGGGAGGGTGGGTCAGTGATACCCGGCGGGCGTCAGGGTGAGGGCTTTGGGGAAGGTCTGGGAGAGTGCTCAGGGGTCTTGATTGTCAGGGTTAGAGCTGGAACTTGGCCCAGTCAGTTCTAAACATAAATGAGACTGAATGGATTGCAAATTTTTCCTATATTCTTTTATGTGTGTGTGTGTGTGTGTGTGTGTGTGTGTGTGTGTGTGTGTATTTAGGGCATACGTATGCTTTTATATTTATATGTATTTAGAGCTTATATATGCATACACACACACACACACAGACACATACATATGTTTCAAACATTTTTAGGTGTACAACAAAATTGAGAGGGGGGTACAGATTTCCATATACCCCCAGTCCCCACACGTGCGTAGCCTCCCACCTCAGCAACATCATTCACCAAAATGGCACTCTTTTGGATGACCCTACACCAGCATATCACAATCGCGCGGGGACCATAGTTGGCCATTGCGGTTCCCTCTTCGTCGTGTACATTCTATGGGTTCGGACAAATGTGCCATGACATCCATCCATCATTATAATATCACACAGAGGCTTTTCACTGCCCTAAAATGACCAGAGATTTTAATCAGCAGGAACTGGGGGGAAGGGTCGCGGGGCCTCTGTCTGGTGGGGCGTGTGAACTGGGGCATCGTGGGTGGTCCCCATGTGCCTGAAGGGGATACTTATCTTGCCTTTAGGATTCTCCCACGCACTTTGACACGCCCTTCCCCTCCACCCTGTGCCTGGGCCCTCCTTCTCCCCTCTCTTTTGTGTTCCAACACCCTGCTTTCCTGGCTCTCTGCCACCCACATACACTGGACCTCCATTTTTTAAAAAAATTTTTTTCCTTCCTTCTTGCCTAGAAATCCCTACTCATCACCATCCCACAGGCATCTTCCGGCCCATCGCTTCCCAGTTGTCCGGTGTGAGCATTGCACAGTTTGTACTTAGTTGTGACCCCTTGTCTACTAGTCTTGTCCAACAGGCTCTGGGCTCTGATTTGGTCACCACAGTATCCCTAGGGGCTGTCGCCGGGCCTGGGGCACAGCCACACACATAAATGACGGACTGAATCAGTTCATTCACCAATTTTTGTGGAATGCCTCCTGTGTCCCAAATTCCCGTGTACATACAGCAGTGAACAAAATCACAAAATCCCTTCCCTCGAAGAGCTAGGACTCTAGGAAGGTAAGATTGAAAAACAGAATAAATAGCTAAAATGTCTGATCTTTCAGAAGGCAAGTGTCATCCAAAAAACCAAAAGCCAAACCAAAACAAAACAACAAAGGCAGGCTTAAGGCATGAGGACGATGAGGTGGGGGCTGCCGTGATGAACGAGGAATGAAGTTTTGAGCAGGGGGCCCCAGGGTGCTTGGGGCTTGACTGGGAGACCAGATCCAGGATCAAGGTGCTACTACGAATAACAATGTTGCGTCTCTTCAGTAGACAAGCCTCAGGTCAAAACAAGGCGGATGACCCTGTTCTATGAAACAGATCTCCCAAACCTAGGGGCTAACCACAATAGATATGTCACTCTGTTACACAGTGTTGTATAGTGTCCCGTCACAATGGGGGGATGGGGCTCTACTCCATGGTCCTTCAGGGACAGTTTCCTTCCGCCTGGTGCCTCAGATGTCCCCGGGTCTTAGAGAACTCTGCTGGAGCCCGGACATCCGGCCTGCAGACAGAAGAAGGAGGCTTTCACGGGCCAGGCCCCGAAGCGGCACACGTTATTCCGTCCACATGATTTTGATCGGAACTCAGTCCCAGCACCCCTAACCTGCCAGGGAAGCGGGAAAATGCGGACCGGCTGCATGGGTCGGCGCAAAAAAAGCCGATGGATTCGGAGCAAGCAAGTGCTCGGGAGTCACGAGGTCCAGCTTTCTTCCCAATCCCTCTCCCTCTCACCCTCCGGACCCTCTTAAGGGTCAAAATGGTTTTTCGTCAGGCAGTGACAACATCCAGCGCAGAAAGAATGAGGAGGGAGCCGTGGGGTGACTGAGTTCTTTCTTTTCTCCCCCAGCCCTGAAGGACCACCCTGTCACCATCAGTGACCGTCTCCTTGGAAGGGGACAAAGTCACGGCCGTCCCGGGGCTCACATCGTGGCTGGAGAAGACAGACAATAAACAATAGTTATTATACACAATTATATAGAATGTGAGAAAGGAAAGGTGGGTCACATGTGGCAGTGCCTGTCATTTTAATATGTCCACTAATGAACATGCTTCATGTAACCATAGCTGCTAACACTGGGGTCGCACTTAGCCAAGCACCGTTCTGAAGGTTTGCTCTATTAACCCAGTTAATTCCCAAACAATAAAACTGGAAAGCACACGGGGAAGAAGAACCAGTGATGAAGGAAAGGAGAGAAATCAAAGTCCACCATTGTCCCTCTGGCGTGTTTCGAGGACCTGTCCCTCCTTCTCTGGTTCCACGGTCCGTGTGTTCGTTCGGGTGTGAGCGGGCGAGACTATGTGTGAGCTCACAGAGGGAGAGCCGGGGGGATGCCTCCAGCACGGACCTTAAATTTGGGGCCTCTTCAAGGGGTTTAAAGTCACACGTGGCCTTTGTCATTGTTCAAGACCATGACATTTGAAGGGGCAGTGAGTCCGTGAAATGCACTCTCGGAATATCAGAGGTCACATCTTGAGTCAGCAGAGGTGGGCGGTGGTGTGAGGGGCAGACTGTCCCTCACCAGTTAAAGAGAGAGAACTGCCTTCCCTCGTCCGCCCCGCAGACCATCAGGCTCTGCTTCAGGCGAATCTCTCCAAAAACTTACCTGAATGTGACCGTGATGGCCCTTTTGTAAGTCCATACAAAATGTGCGGCAAAGTCTCTGTGTCTGTAAAGTGAAATGATTGCCTGGGCGTTAGACGTGTCCAGCACGGGTTATAGTTATGAGTCCTCAGACCCGCCAGGTGTGCGAACACTTGTCACAGATCCCGGATGTCCCCGCCAAAGGGTCGTGTCAGTCTGCATGCATTGAAGGGGGGCGGGGGCTCCCTAACAAGGAAACCCTGCCAATGTCTTCCTGCATGGGGTTCCATCGCCTCCGGGGGTAAAATCAGGTTTGCCTCTGCTTGTTTGTCAAGACGAGGGGGAAAAATGCATTTTGTAACATCTCAAGAAACAGACTAGGCATTTATTTGGGTGCATTTCCATTAGATATGTTTCATTTGACTTATTTCAAAGGCGGTGGGGGTGACTTCATCTGTTAGCAGCGCGATGAACACCCGTGAGAAGGGTGGCTTCCGGGATGGTTTCAACCGCTCCCTGTGGGAATACCGAGCTGGAACTCCAACCCATGGCCGTGCCAAGGGCCTTCCTCACCCCTCACGGGCAGTCCAACTCACCCCCAAACACCCCACCTTAGACAACCCCCACCACCTGGCCTTTGTCACTGTGGTACCTTTGTGAAAAACCCTGACACGACAAATTCTTACTCGTCCTTCAAGACTTAGCTCAAATGTAACTTAGGAGACACTGACTGGACCAAATTCATCCTTTATTTAAGAGTCTACAGAGACTCCAGAGGGTGTGAATCGCCACCCAACAGCCGTGTCACCTGGGAAGCTCAACCTTCGCCTTCTCATCTATCCAGCGAACAGAACGATAGCAGGTGCCTCATAAGGTTGCTCCAAGATTAAATGCATTGGCATCAATAAAACGCTTAGAACACACACTGCCTGGCACAGAACGAGCTCCCAGTGAAATTAGCCATTGCCATTACCTCTGTTGTCTCAGAGTCAAGTACAGTGTCAGGTATCTGATGAATTATAGAAATGAATTGATCAATCAATCTCTCTCTTTTCACAGGAGCCGACGGGTTTTAGACATCTTTTCCCACCACTGCTCACTGCTAACCACCACGGCATCTCTCGCGTAAAGCGACGAGTGACGCTACGAGAAGATAAATGGAAATATTTTTAATGATCATGGAAGGCTCAGTAAGAACCTGGCTAAAATATTTTTTTTCTGAGTATAAAAATATTAAATGTTTATTGTAGAAATGTGTAAAAAGAAAAATATATAAAGAAGAAATTAAAATACTCCTGGTATCTCTTTTTTTTTCAAAAAAAATTTGTTTAATGTTTATTTTTGAGAGAGAGAGAGAGAGAGCATGAGCGGAGGAGGGGCAGAGAGAGAGGGAGACCCAGAATCTGAAGCAGGTTCCAGGCTCCGGGCTGTCAGCACAGAGCCTGATGTGGGGCTCGAACTCATGAACCGCGAGATCATGACCTGAGCGGAAGTCAGACACTTAACCGACTGAGCCACCCAGGTGCCCTGGTACTTCCTTTTAATATGTATGTGACAAATATGTATAGATGAATATGAATACATAAGGTACACCCATAACATATATCATATATAAAGCAAATTTAGGTACCATGCCATAGATACACATATATAATTTTCTAGGTAATATGCTTAGAAGCACAGTTTTTAAAAACGTTTGTCTACTTTTGAGAGAGGGAGAGGGAGGATCCAATGGAGGGAGAGAGAGAGGAGGCACAGGATCCAAAGCAGGCTCCATGCTGACAGCGGAGAACCTGATGTGAGGCTTAAATTTACGAACTGTTGGGGCGCCTGGGTGGCTCAGTTGGTTGAGTGTCCAACTTTGGCTCAGGTCATGATCTCACGTCTTGTGAGGTCCAGCCCCATGTGAGGCTCTGTGCTGACAGCTCAGAGCCTGGAGCCTGCTTCGGATTCTGTGTCCCTCTCTCACTCTGCCCCTCCCTCACTCATGCTCTGTCTCTCTCAAGAATAAATAAAAAACATTAAAAAAAATTATGAACTGTTACCTGAGCTAAAGTCAGATGCTTAACCGACTGAGCCACCCAGGCAGCCCTAGAAACACAATTTTTTATGAATGTATCATTACTTGGGTAATTAGTCCTCTGTTATTGGCTACCTAGATTGAGTTCTATTTTTATGCATTATAGATCATACAGATCACACGTCTTTGTTTAAATATGTGATCATCTCCTTAGGATAGACTTCTAGAACTAGAAATACTAAATCACCAGGTCACAGCATTTTTTAAGGCTCTTAATACAAAACATTGCCAAAGTGCCATCTAGAAGGACCATGCCAATTTATAATCCCAACATACTGTTTACACTGAGAATTTTTTAAAGCATTATTAACCTGACAGGCCAATAATAATAATAATAATAATAGAAATGCCAGCTCCTTCGTTATTAGCGAGTGTACCTTCCCCCCACATTTTCATTAGCTGTGATCCCGTAAGAAACGAAGGGCAGCCTAATGATGCCCGTGACCACGATTGTCCCCTGGGGGGCCACCATATGGAGAATAAGCAGGCTGTTCGGTTAAGACCAAAAACTAGTATTTGTCAGTCAGGTGCCTCCTCTGTCCAGGACTGTCCTGGAATAATGAACTGCATTTGGCTGTGTGTAGCTGAAATTGCTTTTGCCTGCATTGTCTTTTTTTTTTTTTTTAATTTTTTTTAATGTTTATTTATTTTTGACAGAGAGACACAGAGCATGAGCGGGGTGGGGGGGGGGGCAGAGAGAGAGGGAGACACAGAATCTGAAACGGGCTCCAGGCTCTGAGCTGTCAGCACAGAGCCCGACGCAGGGCTTGAACCCACGAACCGTGAGATCATGACCTGAGCCGAAGTCGGATGCTCAACCGACCGAGCCACCCAGGCGCCCCTGCCTGCATTGTCTCTTGAAAGCCTCTAACTGCTCCATGAGAAAAGCGTGTACTGTGGATTGAATTATGTCCCCCCAGAATTCGTATGTCGAAGCCCTACCTCCCAGTGTGACTGTGTCTGGAGGCGGGGCTTCAGCAAGTATTTAAGGTGAAAGAAGTTGTAAAATGAGGTCCTAGTCCAAAAAGATTGGTGGCCTTATCCGAACAGGAGGAGGAAAAGCTAGCTCTCCCAGCGTGCATGCGCCACAGAAAGGCCGTTTGAGGACAGAGCAAGAAGACAGCCAACGACAGGCTGGGAAAGAGCTGTCACCAGAATTCGGCCACGCTGACAGTCTGATCTCAGATTCCTAGTCTCCAGAGCCATGAGGAAATAAATTTCTATTGTTTAAACTTCCCAATCATGGCATTTTGTTCTGGTAGCCCGAGCAGACTAAGACAGTGTCATTGCTGTGACACACAGACCAGGAAAGTGAGTAAGCCCAGGAGAAATACAGTTATATTTGGCCAAGATCATTAAGAATCAGAAAGAGGCAAGGTGGGAGAACCCACTTGTCCTCATTCCAAGGCCAGGGCTCCCCCGTGCCACAGGCAGACAGTAGCCTCAGAGGGTCCAGAGTCACGTGTCCCCAGAGCCAGCACTAGACTAAGACTTGTCACCGGAAGAGGAATGCTTCAGCTCGAATAAACATGCTCTGACCACTCGCTTAGGAAAAACATCGCGCTTCATGCAAAACTACAGTGCAAACTGTGTGCAAAACCACTTTCACCTCTGCGGTGGAGAGAGATATAAAGCCTAACACTATCCTTGCAGCATTGGGGTCTATATGTGCGGCAAGGCAGGCTTTCACAGGGGTCCTAGAGTAGTGCCTCAGACAGGTAAATAAACTGGAAAGACATCTAGTGTAAAATGTTTATTATTATTTTGCTTAATAAAGAAGCCCAGGTACACAGGCTTCTCTAGCACCCTGTGCTGTCAGCTGTTCAGTTTCCACCCCCTTGTAGTTTTCAGCCTCACGGCCATCTTTAGCGCCTCTGGAGGGCCAATCTATGCGCCAGCCTGGAAGAAGGGGTGAGATCAAGGGGAACTAGGCAAGGGCCATCTGAGGTCTACTGGATTACTATCGGGAAGTTAAAAGAAAAGGCTTCCTGCTTTTTTGTCTGATGCTTCTGTATTCTGTATTAAAGTGCAACAGAAAATTCACAAGTTCCAATGCTGTGTCTCCGGACTTTCAAAGACTGGCTCATTGGCATCTGTGTGGCTTAGGAGGATCGTTTCGGTCAAGTTAGCACAAAGGTTTTGGATGGAAGTCTATATACGTGTTATTCACAAATGAAACAGCACGATATGAGCACCTGTCTTTGCTTACATATAAATAGCTAATAAGAGAGGTCGGAACGTCTGGAAGAACAGAAATAAGGTCACCTGAATGGGGGGGCGGGGGAGGTCCCAGTTATGCAAATAGCTTTTCTTCTTGGTCAGGCATTTCTAGTGCTTCCTAATTGGATGGTGGCAGGTTTAGCTCCTCTGTCCTCTGAGAAGTTTCTAGAACTCCTTCTGAAGGTGTTCAGTTTCGTAAGGAGCAGCAGAAACAGGCTGAACAAGTGATTCAGGTCCATCTGACTCAACAGAGGAAGACTTTCCCGCCACCCTCTCAAAGTCCTCCATTGTGAACCACCTGGGCAGGTTATTGGTTTCGATGTTGATCTCTGCACCCAAGAATTGTCAGTGCATATACTAAAAATTTTTCAATGGTTATTCATTTTTGAGAGAGAGAGAGAGAGAGCACAAGCAGGGAAGGGGCAGAGAGGGACGGAGACACAGAATCTGAAGCAGGCTCCAGGCTCCAAGCTGTCAGCACAGAGCCTGACTCAGGGCTTGAACCCACGAACTGTGACATCATGACCTGAGCCAAAGTCAGACGCTTAACCGACTGACTCAGCCACCCAGGCCTCTGTCAGTGCCTATGTTTAAATCTTATCTCCCAAATAAAGAAAATGGTAACTTCTTTAGCTTAAAGACCAAGTAATACTTCTTTCTTAATTAAAAAAAAAAAAATGTTGTTTTTCTGTCCCTCAGCCCTGGAACAGCATCGTACCTGCATTTGATATTCAATACTTGATGACTTTTATTTATTTTTTAAAAATTTGTAAACGTTTATTCATTTTTGAGAGACAGAGACAGAGCACAAGTCAGGGAAGGGCAGAGAGGGAGGGAGACAGAGAATCTGAAGCAGGCTCCAGGCTCTGAGCTGTCAGCACAGGGCCCGATGCCATGCGAGGCTTGCCCCACAAACTAGGAGATCACGACCGGAGTTGAAGTCGGATGCCTGATCGACTGAGCCACCCAGGTACCCCGAACACTTGACGACTTTTAGAGACAACCTTCACAAAGCATGAAATTATACACATGCCCTTCCTACAAAACAAACAAAATAGTTACTCAATAGCTGAACAAGCAGTCAATCGAAATAGAATAATTCAAAACGGAAGAAGTCAGTTGAAGAAGAGTTAAGGTTAATTGTGAAATAGTGTTTGTTAAAGACAGTGGAAAGCCAAATATGAAGTTCAAAAATAGCTACTGAAAAAAGAAGAAACATATGACAAAGGGATAACAGTTTTACAAGGTAGTTCTAAAACTTAGATACCAGGAAAATCCAAGAAGTATATAGGGTGGACACGTTAGTAAGTGAAGCCCCGTGAATCTCACTGAACACAGGGAAAATCTAAAGCCTTTATTTTATTCACACACACACACACACACACACACAGAAATATAGGGTAAACATTGTTTTTCAACGTTTCAACGTTTATTTATTTTTGGGACAGAGAGAGACAGAGCATGAACGGGGGAGGGGCAGAGAGAGAGGGAGACACAGAATCAGAAACAGGCTCCAGGCTCTGAGCCATCAGCCCAGAGCCCGATGCGGGGCTCGAACTCACGGACCGCGAGATCGTGACCTGGCTGAAGTCGGACGCTTAACCGACTGCGCCACCCAGGCGCCCCGGGTAAACATTGTTTTTAAACAACAGACTAGAATATTAATATTAAGAATGGGCTGCTGGGGCACCTGGGTGGCTCAGTCAGTTAAGCGTCCGACTTTGGGTCAGGTCATGATCTCACGCTTTGTGAGTTCGAGCCCCACATCAGGCTCTGTGCTGACAGCTCGGAGTCTGGAGCCTGCTTCAGATTCTGTGTGTCCCTCTCTCCCTGCTCCTTCCCCCACTTGTGCTCTGTCTCTCAAAAATAAATAAATGTAAAAAAAAAAAGAAAAAAAAAAAGAATGGGCTGTATAGTTCCCATATCATGAGAGAATAATTTTATTATATTTTTAAAAGAAAACAGTTCTCTTATTTTCTTTGTGATCGCTTCCATTGTTTGACTTCAGAAGAACTGTCATCAGAAGTTGATCTAAGGAAATGTTTACAGCAGGAGTATTGTTTCAATAATGAGAGTTTGGAAGGGTGACTTTCCCACAATAGAAAGTTTTTCAAGATAAAATTATATTATTGGTCCACAAAGCACAAGTGCTCTAAGGGTGCCTGGGTGGCTCAGTTAAGCGTCCGACTCTGGCTCAGGTCATGATCTCATGGTT